GGGGGGGGAGAAGCGGGAGGGGGGGGGAGGGCATACCATTTTGTACATGGGCACTGACCCGTACGAAAGCGCGACGGTCCCAAGGATGATGCTGATCGTGTAGTACCTGTATAAGTCAAGTTAGCACCCACATTCTCTCCGTCATCTCAAACTCATCCATTGCGCGGCCCATGACCCCGCTAGGCCTCCAACTCCCTCAACCCAGTTCACTCCAACAAGCAAAGCCTCAAGAAAAGCAACCTACGCAGTCGACCGATTCCGCCTCTTATATATCTCCTCCACCCTCGCCATTCCATGTACTGCTGCTCCCGGCCCCCTACTCCCAGTGCCGCCATTCTGTGTCTGGTGCTGCTGCTGCTGCTGCTGACCCTGCCGTCTTGGTTGCGCCCTAGAAAAATATCGTTTCGGTCCCCCGGCCAACTTTTCCGTCACAGCTGTAGCCACCCTCCAAGTTTCTGACGGTTGCCGTTGCTGTTGCCATTGGGGCCGCGTTTGCGCAAAGGCCGCCGTGGTCGTTGTTGTCGTAGAAGCCGAGGCCCGCTGGCAAAAGAGGCATTTGCTGAGACCGGAATTGGAATTGGATCTGGCGGCCATGCGCCGGGCCAGGCGCGGTAATATCGGGTTCATATCGGCGCTCGTCTTTGCATCCTGGGACGGGTTGTTGAGAAGCTCTTCCTCTCTCAGCCCGATGCTTTGCGTGGGGTGGATGTTGAATTTAGATTTCAAGATTCATCCGATGCGGGCCGGAGCTTCAGGGTAGCTTCGTTCCTTGGTTGGCGGGTTTTTGACAGCTGGTGTCAGCTGGAGATAGGTGGTGGATCTCGGCACAGTGCGGAATTACAGGGATATGGCCGGATATGTCTCTGGTTCACTTACACGGGAGTTGCCAAAATGGGATAAATGGAGGGAGTAAGTGAGTGTATTGTGTCGCTGAAGATGTGTTTTGTCAATTTTCTGAGATAACAAACTCGCTTAGACATACAACGTGTACAATGATCTGTGCCCCTTATCCCATCTCATAATTCGTAAACCTCATCCCAACCTCCAAATCTCGTGAACTCATTATCTTCGTCCGATTCGTCCCCCGTCCCCAAATAACCCCCCCTAATGCTCCTTCTCATGCAGCCTCCCCTTAATACCCACCGGGCCATTAACCCTCGACGCCAACCTCCGCGTTGTCGTCGACCGCCTCGCCACATTCACCACCCCATCCAAGATACTAATCACAAACATCTGCACCAGCGCAATCACCAGGCGCAGTAGATAATCCAGCAGCGTCAACCGCGGCCTCTCCCCACGGATGCACGTCGCGTCCGTAAACTCAAACGGAATCTTCGCCCCCAGATGCTCCACCGCCGCCCGCAGCCCGCTGCTAAACCCGTCCTCGTGGAAGCCATACTTGGTCCACGCACCCGCGTAGCTGATGCCACGGGTATTCTGGATCGTGTCCAGGCGCTCCTGCGCGCGGACGGCGGCTGGGGTGTACAGCGCGTGGCGGTATTCGTATCGGCCCTGTACTGTCTTCGGGTCTGGTTCGTGCAGCGGGTTGAGGGTGACGAGGACGTCGCCGAGGGCGGTGCGGGGGATGTGCTGGAGGATGTTCATGTTGTAGGTCAGGCTGACTTGGTCGATGTTGCCGGTGCCGCGCGGGGACGAGGATTTGGTGAGGTAGTTCCAGCTGGACCAGGCTTTGCGGTTCTTGGGGAGAAGTGAAGTGTCGGAGTGCAGGACGGCGGTGTTTTGGGAGGTGCGGAAGTGGCGCAAGATGGACTTTTCTTGGTCGGTGGCGGAGTTGCGGATGATCGAGTAGGCTTGGTCTCCGTGGGTTGCGAGGATGACGTGGTCGAAGACCTCGGAGTTGCCGTTCTGGGAGTGCAAGCGGACGCGGCCGTCGGGTTCGTTGGTGAGAGCGGTGACGGGGGTATTGAGCCGGACGTGGTTGCGCGGGAACCCTTGCAGGACTTTGTCGATATAGGACTTTGATCCCGTTGCGATGGTGAGCCAGTCGGGGCGTGCAGCGACGGTTGAGAGCAAGTGATGATTCCACCTATTGGGCTGTTAGTCCTCTCGGGTCACAATATCCTTACACTCACTACCTTGGGCAAAGGCCCACTTACAGAAACCGAACGAGCGTCACGGCTGGGAACTCTAGCGCGCACTTGTCCGGGCTGGTACTCCAAACAGCCGCGGCCATCGGGATTAGATAGTTGTCACGGAACGCATTCGAGTAGCCCTCTCGATCCAGATACTCCCCGATGGTCTCTTCGGTCAGCACCTTCACCCTCAGAATGTCCACCGCAAACTGGTTGAAGCGGATGATGTCAAAGACCATACGCCACATGCTCGGCGAGAACAGGTTCCCCCGCTGGCAGAAGAGCGTGTTCAGACTCGACCCGGCCCACTCAAACCGGCCTTGGTCGCGGGACACAGAGAAGCTCATCTCCGTGGTCTCTGTCTTGACGCCGACTCTCTTGAGGAAGCTGATAAAGTTGGCTGTCCCACAATGTTAATAAACACGATCTCGGCATTTGAAAGGGGGCCTCATGTGTAAAGGGGAGTCCACATACGATATGTCGCCGTGTTCATGACGATAAAGCCTGTGTCGACCAACGTCTTGTACTTGCCCTTGGCAAACTCCACCGTATTGGTGTGCCCACCAAGGCGACCGTCGGCCTCGTACATGTAGACATCGTGAGGGCTGCGGTTGAGCGCCCACAGGGCGGCAATCCCGGCGCTGCCACTGCCCACCACGGCCACTTTCTTCCTTGGGTACGGGTCAGCCCGGTTCAGCATGGTGCCGGTGTCACATGGAATTCGGCTCTTTGCGGTGGGGAGAAAAAAAAAGAGCGGTCGGTGGCTGGAGGGTGAGTAGCCCGAATCTAGGGGGGGGAAGGCAGAAGAAGAAAATGAGATGAAGAATGAAGATGAAGAAGCAGGACAATAAGAATAAAAAATACAAAGTCCGCTAAGGGACCGCGGTAAAAACGGTGGGGTAGTGAGACATGAGATGTATTCCGATTCCAAGGCCACTCGGCCTTGAACAGATTACGTGGGTATGATCTCAGAGGCTGGGACGGTTCTGGTATTCTGGAAGCACAACGCAGCAAAAAAAAAGCGCCTATCCCCCCCGGCCTTTCGGGCGTCAAATGGGATGCTCCGTCAGGTTGCAGCGTCCGCAGACACAGCTGGCAATGCCGGATCCAGTCATTCAGCTGGCCTGGCCCCTGGCCCAGCACGACGCTGGCTGCAGGAATAGCGCGCATATTCCATCTGTGGGCGCACGCCGGGGATCGCGATGCAAGGCCGGCCGCGGGCCGCCAACTGCAGCGCTTCAGGCGCTTCATTTCAAGGCGTCATGTTTCATGGCTGGGCTAGTGTCGGGTTGCGTCTGTGAGGACATAGCATGTGCTTGATCATTGAGCCGGTCATCGAGTCCCCCACCCATCCATTCATCCCTCAAGATCATCAAGATCAGATCAGTTTGGTGCAGCCTCAGTTTTTGGACTTACATTATTTGTTCCGAATTGTTGCCCATTGGCGCCCGATGATTGGTTTTAAACTGCCAGGCCATCGTGAAACGACAATTGATGGCCAAGACGACCTTGACCAGCGATCAAGGCATGAAGATTTATAGCTCGTTCCTCTCCCTCCGGCCGGCAAAGTTTGCCTGTCGTTAGAGAAGCATCAACACAAAAATCCTCAAAGAACCAAGCAGTTTATCAGTGTTGTTCGGCAGCATGCGCTACGCCACCATTCCACTGCCCAGAACTTGAGGAATCTCAGGAATGCCAAGGGAGATAAGAAGTTGCGGAAGTTAGCAGAGCCGAATGCAAAGCAGTTCAAAGCCCTGCAGTTACTCGCGTGATGGCCCCGGAACTGGTTGCAGAACAAGGCGTACGAAAAAACGTTGCCGCCCAATCGCTCTCGCCCACATTGTCGTCGACTCCGCCAACGCGTGGCCGAGAACCCGCCCAAGCCTGCAGAGCAACAACGCCTGCATACCTCGGAATCAACTTTCACATGGCTGGAAATTTTTTCAAGAGAACAAGGTAGGGGTGCTGAAAGTGGAGTATCAAAAAGTAAAAGACAAGGAGAAGTTATCTCTAGCCTGGGGTGGTGGATGAGCTGGAATGCGGACAATGGCTGTCCTGCGCTTCCACCTGGAGGAAGATGGAGGACGGTTTTGGAAACACATCTCAATCCAAGTCACTTTGGCGGAGTGGTTAACGCGCTGCCCTGCTAATTCACAGTTAGTGGTAGGCAGTTCCCTCGGGAGCGTAGGTTCGAATCCTACAGGTGACGTTCTTTTTGACTTTTTGGCCCAATTCGATGGGAGCCCACCCCGCGAATTCCCATCCGCAGTCTCAAGAAATCCCCTTTTGACGATGAAAGATTCAGACAGCCGGCCTCGGAAACAGAAGTTGGCCTTCAGCAACCTTCGTGAATCCATAGCGTGCTGCAATCGCTGTCCGATTCTGAACCAGACAGACAGACCACTTTGACGTGTGGCCTTTGGCAGCCTTTGGCAAAAATCTAGACGGGACAGCCAACGCCAAAACGCGTCGCTTTGCCGTCAACGAACGCAGACAACGCCACAAAGGACCGCGAAATCGAGAACTACATCACGTCTAACAACAGAGACTCCTTCAGTAGCACAAAGCACACATCACATAGCCACACTTGAAAATCAAACTCTCGGATAAAACCAAGAAGAAATGTCGACGCCAAACGGGATCGCCCACTCATCGCCGATGAAGGCATTAGTAGCAATTCTTGAGACGAACCAATTTCTCTCTGCCCGGTTAATACAACCCGATGCACACACAAGAGAAGGAGGAGAACAATACGCGAACGCACACCTCTTCCTTTCTTGAAACATCGGGCCTTAATTCTGCGTCACCGGGGGTCAACTTTCATGAAGAGAAAAGAAGAAAAAAAGAGGAGGAAAAAGTTTCCGGATTTGGGTTGCCTTTAAAGGGATTTTTTCTTCGGGAAGGGTGGGGCAGCGTACTGTGTGGATTTGGTGAGAGAAACCAAAGGCTGACACTGTGCCGGGCTGCCAAGGGGCGGCTACTAAACCTCCAACTTCCCAACACCACACGACCAGGTCAAGTGAAAGTTAAAAGAAAGAACAATGTTCATAAAATTGCGCCGTCAAAAGGCACGCTGCCCGTGTATATCAAACTCCTGATAAAATACATTCCTAAAAAAAAGACGACAACACCCACCACTTCGATCCAACTACTCTCTAGGAGTCTCTTCATCATCTCCATTCGACGCCTTTTCATGAGCGGTATGCTGCTCACCATCACCAGTGACGAGGCTTTCAGGATCGCCGGTTTTCTCCGTTCTACGGTTCTTGTCAGAATCAGCGGCTTCAGGCCCGATGCTTTGTGGTTGGCTCAGAGGTTGTTCGGGTTTGGGCTGTTCATTTTTTTGTCTCTTGGTCTTCGTCCTCATCCTCTTGTTTGTTAACGTCGGATGTACCTGCAGAGTGCAGACCATACAGTGTCCTGTATAGTGTTTGTTTTTGGAGACATCGAACGGCCCTCAGCGTCTCGCCCGACGAAATGGCACATCGCCTCGTGATCCGGCCCGCGGCCTGGTCAAGACTTGCCGCGGTAGTTTAAGTCATCAGTCATCAGTCATCTCGACAGTGGCCAGCCCGCCGTTGATTTCAATCTCCGCATCGAAAAGAGCAGGCAGCGAAACGGTTGGTAACGCTTACCATGAAGGCTGGCGCGCCATGGGTGACCTACGGGCCGGAAACCCATGCCCTGCCATGCCTCTGGCGGAGGGCCATGCCTCTGGCAGAGGTTCCGTGTGCTGGGCGTGGTGATGCGTTGTCCGTCCGGGCGGAGGGAGACGACGCCGACCTAATTTGGTTAAATCCTTCAGATCATCCGGTCGTCTGGTTGTGAATCAGAGCTCGCCGGGAGATTGTTTGGCCTCGTGCCAGTGTTCTCTGTATTCATATTATCTCTTCATTACATTACGTCGCTCATTCGATCTCGCTCCTGGCCGGCTCCCACTCCCTACCAATGTCCTACGACAGGATCGCCGCCGTCGGTAGGGATTCAGGATACCCCACGGATACCGTTGTGATATTGACCCTGCCGGCGTTCGAAAATGACGGGCCTTTCGTTGACCGCCACAGATCCCGTCTGCTCGAAGAACGGACGGTACAGCACTCCGGCACCAGCCATGTCACATCGCGTTCCTTTATCCCGTCCTTCTCAAACCCACCACGCCAATCACGCTCGTACTTCACCATCGGCCGTGGCCCCCACAGCGACATTTCCTACAGCTCGATATCAATCAGTACCGAGCATATAGGTTCGTCGTGGAAGGAGAGCACGTGGTCTTGGAAGACGCCTTGACACTCGGCTGCTACCTTGCTTTTGGGGATCGTGGGGAGCAGGCAACGGATCCAGGCGGGCCTCAGAGGCCATACCGATGCATTCTCCCCCGCAACTGCGACTGCACTCTCCGCCTTTCTCACACTCTCACTTTCAACATTTGGGTTCCCCCGTTCTCTGAACCTAAATTGGACGAGTTTCGAAAACTGCACAAGGCTTTCCTCGGCAACTGCTCTTCCCTTGGAAGCCTTAACATCCACTCGCAGCTTACGACCGTGGGACAAAGCCCAGGCAAGCCGGCCCCGACGAAACAGCGGTACATGTATTGGTTCAAAGATCTGCTAGGACAGGGTGCATTTGGAGCGGTTCATCTCGTCCGTCGCCTCCAAGACTGGAAGAGGTTTGCCGCCAAGGAAGTCTCCCCCCGTACCCAGCAACGGGAATACCTAAAAGAGGAGATAGAAAAATTGCAGTCCTTCAAGCACAACCGTGTTGTCTCATATGAGGATTGGTACGAAGATAAACCAGGCCATTGGATTCTTGTCATGGAGTTTTGTAAGTTTGGCACTCTTTTCGACCTGATGGAGTATCGCCGAGACACGTTCCAACTGCAGGAAATTGCCGAGATTCAGAAGCAAATCGCCGAAGGCTTGGTGTACCTCCACGACCAAGGGTGCACGCATCGCGATATTAAGCCGCAAAACATTCTTGTTCGACAGCTAGAACCATTGTCTCTCGTGCTCGCCGACTTCGGGATATCTAAACAGACGACCGATGAGGACTCGGCCATGTACACTATTTTGGGCACTGCTGATTCCATGGCGCCTGAGATTATGGCATTCAAGCCCTATAACAGTCGAATCGACATCTGGGCTCTTGGTGTCATCGGGCTCGAGCTGCTACTTTATGGTGTCCAAAACAGACGTAGGAAAAGTCGGTCATCTCCCCAAAACTTTTATTTCCAAACCGCCGGAACCTTGTTCGAACGGGATCGAAGCAACCTACTTGCAGGGAACGTTGCGAGGATGCTAGCGGAGTACCCAGAGGATCGCCCGGATGCACGCGAATGTGTCGAGGATGCAGTCACCGCGCTCAACCCGCTAGGCCCCAAACAACGTTTGGCTGCCCCTCCTTACGACCGTATTCCGCGCCTGTGGAACTCGGCGAACGACTCCCAAGCTACCCTTCGGTCATTGCTTCAACCCACCACCATCCAGAATTGCACACCGTCCGAGATCCGGGATATGGAAAAGCAGCTAGAGACCAGTACGTGGCGGGTTCGCTGTGCAGCAGGTGTCGCGGCTCAGGGGGTTTCGATGCAGCCACTATCTCAAGCGACTACGGCCCAGCAACAAACCTCACGCAAACGAGGGTCCAGTGTTCTGTCACGATCCAACTCGATCGAGGCGCGGCCGGCCAAGACCCAGCGCACCGAGCCTACGATGGCTGTAGAGCAGGAAGGCTCTCCTTCTACGCTCTTACCGCCGTCGGACCCATCGGGAATGCAACAGCCGGACTCTCCTAGGGATATTACACCGACAAATACACGCTGGTTCCACTCACTATTCTCGGTCTCGAACACATTCCCCAGCGTGCAACAGTCCCAGCAACAACAACAACAACAACCACAATTAACATTTCCAGCAGTCCACCCCCAAGAGTCACTAACCATCATCCCTATACGCCCTAAGCCTAAGCGCACACCAAGCCCAGTAACAGCCCGGGAACGCCCCTATCGCTGCCAGAATCGAACCATTCCCTCTACGACACCCAAAGTAGCTTTGTCGCTGCCGTAGAAGACATCGCGCCATCGCCACTTACCCTACCTCCGCAAGTACCACTCTCCACTGAGTCTCTAGAAGCCTCCGCGGAAGAGGAGAGTCACGGCAGCGATACTATCATGGAGGGTAGCGAGTGGTTGAGTGAGCCGGATCACTGACAGAGAAGAGGGTATCAAGCTGACGATGGGGTTAATGTGCTTAATGTGGGTCCGGAAAAGGGGTTTAGGGGGGCGTGTAAACAAACACTGGGGCAACGGGACCATGTCGGAGTTATCGCGCGGCAGTGTCTGTTTATTACGGGACACAATACGGCGGATGGATGTAAGGTACCACATTAAAGGCGTTATCCTTTTTATTTCCTTTGTGTTCCATGTCCCCTTTAGATCCCTTTTGATACCGCTTGGCTGGGTAATGATACTACGGCGGTAATGTTTTTATGATGCATTGGAGAGTGGGCGTCGTTGATGAATGGGATTTGGTTTGGGGGTACTTGAGAGCTATTGATGTGCTCTGTCGTAAAATACAGCTTGGATAGAGCTCATTCAGGTACCCCAGTATTAAGTGAGTTTTAGTTTAGTTTAGTGTGCCCATCAACCAGAGGCAAGATAATAAAACCACCTTCTAGAGGCCATCGTTCCACTTCTTGGGTTATCCAACGAGACGACGGAGATACTGAGCATATTGTTCAGCGGAAAACCAACAGTAATTTTTTCTTTTAAGTGTTTTTTTTTTAAAAAAAAATTACATTTTACTCGATTATTAACAATTATATCACAAACAGGAAGCCGTATAAATTATTCAAGTCCACCCGCGGTTGACAAGTCACGAGACCGGCAGCAGGCAACGTCAAAGGTGGCCTCTTGTGGCCCGTGTTGGCCGTCATGACTGCCCTCCCGCGCTTAAATGAGAGCATGTGCGAGCAAACAAAAGGAGACAGTCTCGCCTTCTAAGGTTTACGATGACAACTTCCTTTCTCCAGTCTTATAAAGCTGTAGGCCCGCCCCACTTCAGTTCCCCCATTTTGTCCGCTTTTTGTTCATCCCATTCATCGATTCATCGCCCACCACTCATCGCTCAATCATCAACACACAGACACGCTCTCCCTCTCTCTCTTTCTCAGCTTCTGCCTCGCAGGTCCTCCAGGCGTCCAAAACTCGGCGTCAGTGCTCACTCGACCGGACAAAAATGACAAGCTACATGTACAACGAACCATCCACCGGACCAAATCCATCTTCGGATCACCAACAAACCCTCGTCGAAAACGCATGCCATGCACTTCTAGGTCTACGACGCTCCACCGAGCCAGCACAGACATACGACACCTCCGTCTTTCCCAATGGTGGTTATTACCCAGAAGATCCACAACGCAACCAAGACCAGGACGGATACCATCCCCTCTCAGCGCCGCAACCAGAGTCCCAACGAACAGCCGACTTCCTCTCGGACTCTTACGCCCACGAGGATGTTCCCGCAGCATATGACATCCCGTCCCCGGCCACGACGCTGACAGAACCCCAACATCCCTCCAACACCTCTCAAACCGATCTGCACTCATCACCCACGCCGTCACCTTCGCCATCCACCACCTCACCCAGCAACCCATTAACATCAACACCAAGAACCCCCCACCGCAAACCCCAACCCCCCAAACCCAAATCATATCGCTATAGTTTACCACGATTACGTCCCCGGCGTCCACATCCCCGGCGTCCACATCCCCGGCGCCCCTCGGCAAAACAACTCGTCCACCGACCCGTCCACCGAGACCGGCCCGTCACCCGCCAATTAGCTCTTGACCTGTTGGTGGCTAGAGCTGAGGCCAGAACTGAGGGCAAAGCTGGGGCTAGAGCTGGGGCTAGAGCTGAGACTAGAGCTGAGGCTGAAGCCCGGCGACGTCAAATGCTTGCTGCTGGAGTGGAGATAGCGGCTGCGGCGGCTGCGATGCGGGCGAGGAAGAGAAGGGAGATTGAGGATAAGTGGGGGGATAAACGGAAGGGTGGTCGGGAAGGGGGTGGGGGGTTGCCGGAGCTTAGGCCGGGTAGGGGTTGGCCGTGGACGTGGGAGTGATGACTTTGGGACGGGAACTGAACTGGACCTTGGGGACGACTCCTGTATATCCGACAACCTATCCCTCACAGCCGTATACCGCTTCCGAGGGTAGGTCTGCAAGATTCGGGACCAAATGTAGGAGGGGGGGAGTTGGGTGTTTTGGGGGATATGTAGCTCTTTTAGTGTTTGCTGGATTGTGGATTGGGTGTGGATGATGGTAGAGTGGTAGAGTGGGGCTGTTAAAGGGGTTGTTGGGATTTAGGGGACAATGTAAACAAAGGATTCAGGGGCTGTTGTTGATTTATTTAACGGTGCGCATCGTTAGGCGAATACTTTAATAATGTTGAATGGGATGAGACGCAGCTTTTTTTTCACCATTTTTTCCACTTTCTTCCGCTTACATGGTAACTAGATGTTCTTTTAGCACAGGAATACTATTGGCTCTTCTTGATATGTTCTGTGGTGATCCGGCCTAATAATAGCCAACTCAAGCCTTTTGGTTTTCGAAACGACTTCCCGATTGAGTCTCATCGAACTACGCACCCTAGTTATGAATTCCGCCGATTTGCATTTCTTATCGCTCGCGCCCCTTTCATTCGCACCGTTCCAATTCCCGTGTGGCAGTGAGGACATCGCCAGCTCACCACCTGCATCCCGGCCGCAGTCTCCGTCTCACGAACGACAAGGCTTCCATTTTTAGCCCTGCACGACGAACCACTTACATACTAAGCTTGGCGCATTCCAGCGAGACGGTGATGGGTTTGATTGGTTTCTTGCTGGTTTGTCATTCGCAGAGTTCGGTTTTTTTTTGTCTTTTTTAACTGGTTAGTGTAGAAGTGGGCTTCCTTGATGTTCTTATCGCCGTGATGTCTCGGGTATCTCCGTCAATCAGGCGTTTCCCACCCGGTTGACTACTGCACCTAACTAACGAACGAACGTGATGGAGAACCCGATTAGGCATACATTTTTCTTTCCTCGTCTTTTTTTGTCCTGTCATACCCGGCCTGCATTGCTGTTGTCCTCTCTTGAATTCCCGTGGCCAACTCGGAAATAATCTTTTTTTCTGCCAACGCAGCTTGGGCGAGACCCGGTGATTGGACGTGGAAGATGACGGGTTGAGACACGCGGCCTTGCGCCCTGTTGGTGTCAGCGTGGACGATGATTGTGTGGACAATGGTTGTGGACGAGGAAACTATTTGCTATTGTGGTGGTGACGAGTGACGACGAGTGGCCGTGCGATATGTCTCAGATCCTTTTGGCGGTGTTTTTTCGGCATGCCGTGTTCGGCGAGTTGTGAGATGATGGGGTCGGCGAGTGAGTCGATAAATGAGGGCATCGTCACTTTGACTGTCTCCTGTATTACTTCGTGCATTTTTCTTATAAACTCAATAATTCGGTCTTAACTCAATCTCACATCGACCTCTACACCATCTATCAACTAATACAAAACCCAACTTAATAACCCCAAAATAAACACCAATAGCCCAATAGCCAACAATCCCCATATCTCAACCCAACCTGCCCAACACCCAATACCTAAAGACCACCACGCACACCCACAAGAGACAAAAAGGGAGAAAATAACCAAAAATGCCCCCCCCATCCACCCTCTCCAACCAAACCTGTCCCCTCCCCTCCCGCAAAACCTACCACCTCCCCCCGGCCTCCTCCCTCCCCCTCCTCCGCACCCTGGACCTCTTCTTCGTCCCCTCCACCGCCCGCGGCGCCCGGCACGCCATGGATGTCTGCTGCGACCTGCGCGCCCGGGCCACCAGCACCGACGATGACCGCAACGGAGACGGGGTTGAGAATGGGGGCCATGACGACGAGGATGATGAGGGGAGTCGGGCGAAGGTGGTGGGGGTGGGGGGGTGTTATTTGTGGTGTGAGGTGCCGGGGGGGTTTTATCCGAGTGCGGGGGGGAATGGGACGGGGAATGGGAATGGGACGGTGGGGGAGGAGGAGAGGGAGAGGGAGGTGAAGGAGGCGGTGAAGGCTTGTTTGAAGAGAAATTGGGAGGATGAGAAGGATGAGGATGATGATGAGCATCATGATGATGAGGATGGTCTTGTGGAAACGGGGGTTATTGTGGAGTTTCAGTTTAGTGATGCTGCGAGGGGGGGGAGATTGGGAGGTGGTGGGATGCTGGGGGTTGGGCTGTGGATGTTGGCTTTGTCGGGGGTGATGTTTAACCTGTGATTGAGGGATGAGGATAT